CAGAAAGACAGAGAGAGACAGAAAAAGAGAAATTACCCCTGAGGGGGATGGCCCCGCTGCAATCCCTTCTCCTCCATTCTCCTCTCGGGATCTTGGGCACGCACGCACACACGCCCGGTGTGAGCTTAAGCCACCGAGTCTGGGACTGGAACCGCAGTCGACTACGTGGGAGTCCAGTGACATAGCCATTAGGCTAACTGCTGGTCCCCATAGTTGCTTGTTTTAAAGTGGGAAGTTCAGCATTATCACTTGATCTTTTGGGGAATAATTGTGGGCCAAAACTTTGTGAATGAATATTCTTTTTTTAAAGAAATAATTATTTATTTTATTCATTCATTCATTTATTTTGTAGTTTGAGCAGAGAGAGACAGGGTGAGAATGAGAGAGAGAGGAAGTGAGAAAGCAAGCCACCAGATTCAGGACTTGAACCCTGGTTGGCCATGTGGGAGTGTCCAGCGCCTTAACCACCATGCCACCTGCTGGTCCCCGTGAATGAATATTCTTTATGATTTACCGGAGTAAAGAGGCCAAAGAAGGAATAGCTCATACCGCTCACCCTGCTATTTGTCCCCCACCCCTTATCCCGGTTGATTCTGCCCTGCGAGGTGGTATGAGCTAGCTGTACATGACTTTGGGCACGTTTTGTTGTTAGTGTCTGTTGATGTGTAATGATAATCCAAGCAGGTGTGATTTTGTTTTTAGGACCCAGTTATCTAATTTATCATTAGTACCTATTAGTCTTCCATATAGTAGTTGCATTTATTTATTATTGGTGGGTTTTCTTCAATATAACTTGGGAAGAAAAGCAGTCATGTTATTTAGCCAATTTAGATAGAATTCTGCCACTGGACAAAAATGGAGTACAATGAGAACTAGAAGCTAAGTGTTTTAAAGGTGCTTTATAAATTTAAACTATTAATGCATTTTACTCTGATCTTTCTTTTCCTCCCACTTTACTAACCACAATCCTCAGAGGTTCATATACAGGCTAAATTAAGACAATGGCCTGTCTTAGCACAGCCCAGGATTTCAGAGATGGCTAAAAGGAAAGAGAAGTAGAAGGGAAAGGAGGAGGGACGAGGAAAGGTAACAGCAAAAAACTAGAAGAAGAAGAAGTATGGCCCTCAAAGCTGAAAACAGTCAGGTCGTTCATAGAAATAGTTTGGTTCAAGGCACAAGAGTGTTGATAGATGACCCTCTGTTTTTGGAGAGAAAAGATAACAAGTTGCATTTTTGAGACAAGAGAATATGTCTATTTAGCATAGTTCACTGTTTAGTATTTAATATTCTTGTAGCCATGCCAGTTTTACATATAGAAATATTTACCTAAATTGCTTCGTTTTAGTAAGGACTTAATAGGAGTGATTTGTATTGCGTCATGACCATTTATTCTTTTTATTCTTCTTCAAATTGCCAACAAAAATATATACCTTTCTACCTAAGCTAAAGGTATAAAGTGAAATTCATTCTAACATAGTATTTTGAAGTTGGTTTCCCCTTAAAAATGATAAAAATAGGGACCAGCAGTTAGCGTAATGGCTATGTCGCTGGGCTCCCATGTAGTCGACCGTGGTTCGCATCCCGGACCCAGTGGCTTGAAACTCAGGCTGGGCACGCGTGCGTGTGTGCGC